CTTCGTTTGCATTTATTGACGCCGACACATTTTCTATATCAATCGAGGCATTGATTAAAGCAGCAGCAACCAATAATCCGCCAGTTGCTAAATTAGGGCGACCTTCAACTAAAAACACAAATTCCTCACGTTCAAGCAAAAAATACAAGCCTTCAAGAGTTCATAAGCCTAAATACAAGTGCCATTCCTCCATAGTACATAGTGAATCGTCAATAAAGGATATAGAACCCAAGATATTTAAGCTAAAATTGCCTCAGACTAAAAGTCAGAAAATGGGTGATACTGTGCCACGATTTACAAAACTCCCGCGAACATGGTGGTTAAGTTATTACCCTCCTCGTTTCTTGACCTTGTTTCTACTGGGTTCAATCGCGTCTTTTATGGTCGACCACCTGCTTACTCAAAACCATATAACAGAATACCCAAAGGACACCCCAAAGCTCATTGACACAGCAGCTTGGATTCCCCCCACATGCGGCTTGTCAGCAATACTAATAGGTTCCTTATTTCCACTGGTAGACTATTGGCTTAGGATAAAACCACAAGAATTTCAAAGAGAATGGAGTAATGTCATGAGGTGAGAAATGTCTGCTTGTAAGGAACCTCGAGGTTAAAATACTGGGAATTCGGAACTTATGCTTAACTTCAATTAGGTGCATGGGGGGTTTTATTGGAATTGCATATGCTGCTACGGTAAGACCAATTCCTGATTACTTTTCCTATTCGGAATTCTTACGATGTAAAAGTGGATGATAGATAATTTATTATTTTCATTTACAATACAGAAACTATCGTGGAATAGTGATTATCAAGTTTCTTGTACATTGGCTCTAATATCAATAGCACTATGGTTCCTGTTTGATCGGACGTTACACGGATTCGCAATGTCCGTCGTATTTTCGTCAATAGGAACAGTTGTCATGTATGTGCTTGTATCTCACGGGATTTATAGGTCTGAAAATATTTAAGATAATGTCGATAACGGTAGCGGTTAATTTTCCGTTCAATTATTAATCAAGGATCTGCTTATCATTTATTTAGCTTTACGCATGCCAACTTCTTTGGTGTACGATCGTGGATTCCTGTGAGTACCTTTAAGTTTTAGACCATTGCAAATAAATAATTATTTACCCTTTTCATTGATTGCAGTGCATCTTATATTCATCGTGTGTGTGCGTTGGTACATTGGGAAGACAATTGATGATAGTGCCAGAGGAATGGTTCGAGGACAGGAGACGTGATTAGAAGAGTAAAAATGACGAGTCACAAAGTTTGGGCAATGACTTTGCAATGTGGGTTGATTTATATGTGGACGAGTTTCGCAAGATATGTTCGTTGGTCGTGAATATGCATGATCTCTTGACATTGATGGAGCAGATATATATATTATTGTTTATAAGAGGAAGAGGATTGAGTGATCAACGTTAGTCAAAGTTTTTATAAGTTAGAAAGATTAAGCTTAGTGAGATTCTATTGAGAAAATTATGACGGAATTTAAATATTTAAGAGATATATTTAACACTCAATGTTGTTCTCGGAACCTTTTTCTTAGGTTCCGTTTATTGTCATACAGATGAAAAATATGGCTGATCTTTTAATAGTTGTTAGTGTTGTGATAATAAAATAACAGAAATGACGATATTGAAGATATAGTCTCGCACAGGAGTGGTAACATAAGATGTACCAATTTTTTATTCGATTTATGCCGGTTTTAGTTAAAAGCCAAAAAAAAAAAAAATACGCGCGTTTACTATTAATTTATACCTTTATTCTATAATCTCACAACAAAATTAATTTCAAATATACAATATAAATAAATTATATTTTTTTTTTTCGCCCGCATATAATTATTAATTGCAATAAATATAAACTTTTTCTTGGAAATTTAAATGCCTGGTTATTACCGCAGGGA